CATATAATAATATACCAATGAACAGTATGATAACAGACAGTGAAGAGTTACAGTATTTTGTACTGGTGTGTACATTATAGCCATTGGTAACTTCACTAACTGAAATGTGATCACTGTTCTATTGGAAGTTAACACGTACTGATAGGTTTGTCACTTGGCTTTAGGTATTGTATATATGGATGACTAAACTAACATAACTTTACCCACAAAGGTGAAAAATTGAAACAGTGCTCAAAAAAATATTTATCAATCTTTAACTATTACAGCTTTATCAGAGCACAGAAACTCAATAAAATAGTCCTGAGATGGTCCCGAGGAATTGTATGGAGACAAAAAAAATTACAAATACCTGTTCAATATTTATTTTATGTTTCAAAAGTAAGTCTAAATGAAGAGGTATGGCAATTTTGGTAATTCTTTTAAGAGCAATTTCTAATCTTCTCAGTGGCTGCTTACGAACAAATTCAGATGTGTCACTTTCTGAGAAAGCTCGTTCCTTTTCACTGCAACTTCTCATCTTCTGGTCTTGAAACATGCCTGAAAACATGAGACTTAATCAATTTGGGAATTTTATATTTTAACGTAATCATTTGATGTTACACACAAAAAACAAAAACAAATTCCATGATGTTTTTTTTTACATATACAAAACAAAATACATTAATATGCTAAATAAATTTCCCACTACAGTCACATACAACTTTACTGATGAAAGTCATCATCACTGACATATCTAGATGATGCGAGCTCCTACAGCTTCATAATAACTTACTCAATTTGTCATGTTACACATTTCATTATGTTGGATGATGCTTCATATTACATAATAATAATTATTAGTTTAACATTTTGACAGAACTATAAAAGAAATGGCTACATTACATACACATACATATATACATACACACATAAATAATTCATAAAATATGAGAGTGAAAATTGCAAAAGAAAAAAAAAGTTACAGAGAATAAATCTTAAATACAGTAGATCATATGTCAGTTTATCATTACCAATCTTGTAGTTAATTAGAAAATAAAATATACTAAAAAAATATGAATTTAACATATCATACCAATCAGAAACTAAACTTCACCTACCTAGCTAAATTAGGTATTGACTCTAAAATTTTAGCATTCAAAATTTGAAACAATAAGCTAGTGCTGAATGAACTTCATCCAACAATGTGGATAGTACGTAGTTAACAAATGATTTAAAGTTGTTTTTTTTTGGCTGGTGCTTCAGCAAATATTTTATATAAACTAATATTCTATTACTTCATCTCACTAAAAACATGTTAGGAAAATTGTATTCATTATACAATTTGAATAATTTGACAATTCTGATGACGAGGATGGAGAACTTGTCTTCTCTCGGTTTACAGAGCTGACAAATGGATTAGTACAGAATTATACATTAGTACGATCTAGTGTTTATAAAAATAAAGTACAATATAGTTATATTGCCTCCAAGACCCTAAATAATGAGTTATGTGGATAGCAAGATTATTTTTTGGTTAATATTATTTGTTTTTACTGCTGGCCTGAGATTGATGGATTATGTTATATATGTGTCGCCAGCATGAAGTTATAACTATTAAAATTGCCAAGATGTTGTCACATCATTACATAAGACTTGCCTCAGAACATTATAGTCCTACCTAAAGAGGTGAGATTCTCAAGCACCAATCAAAGTAAATTTGCCTTACAAGCATTATACAGCTCAAACAGCATGAGTCTAAAGATGATGAACAATGACAGATAACAAGTAGCTGTACAAAATTAACAAGTGGTACACATTTTATCTAAGTTTCTATAAGCAAAGTATGAGGTCTGACTTTGGTAAAGTAGAAATTTTTGAATAACTGTCATATAAAATGAGTCAAACAATGAAATTAAAAGACAACAATTGGCTTACATACTACATATTTAGTACTAAGAAGTAATGAATTAAACTCTATAGTAGCAGCAGTTAAATAAATTTAACTCATAGATGTTAAGGCTTAAAATTTAGATATCACTTTACAGGCTTATTAACTATTCAACTGTTCATTCATCATAAATTAAAATACTGCCAGTGTTTATTTGGAAAATAAAAAACAAAAGAGCCATAGTGTTATACAGTTCATGGAGGTCACTCTTTCACTAATAAAACACAAAACTACAATATCCAAGTATATATATATACCATATCAATAAAATTTTAAAATAAAATAAACTAAAAGCATAGCACATCATCAGATAAACCATTCCATATGTTTGCATATTTGTAGCTTTACTTCGAAAAAAAAATGTACAAAAAAACAACAATAAAGTTTAATTTTTGTGTAGGCTTTCAAAGCTTAAAACTAATATTAAAGTTAGTATTTCTAACACTTTTACTCAAACCCTTCTTAAATAACATTAACTAGGATGCCTCTGCCACAGTAGTACCAGTGTCAAAAAGACTTCTCTGTAAATAATGACGCAGTAACTATGGTAGGGAAAATTGAAGCTTCCCAAACATCGTCTACAATTTAAAAATAAACTGGTTCAATGTATACACAGAAATGTGAATGCATAGTGAACTAAATATTCATACTATATATATATAAAACCAACAAGTATAACTATAACGGAATACTAATTAAATTGGAGGTCTTGCCACAATAGAAAAGTAATAATCAAAACTACTGTTTCCCAACTGAAACACGGAAGAAGAAAAAGGATCCACTTTTAAAATTAAAAAATGGACATATTCATTTATCATGTTATTGTTAGTGCTATAACTGCAGATTACAATTCGTGTGTCTAAATTAAAATGCGCTGTCACTGTGTCAATAATGACTAAAAGTAAAAATGATTAGTGATTTTAGTCTAATGCTAAAGTTCTTAAAAAGTTAAAAATAAAACTTTTTTTTTTCAATTTTAAAAAGAAGTCAACAACTCAAAACAGACTACGTACAAAAATTAAATTCCACTTTCCAAATCACAGGGCTTAAAACAGAGACTAGACAAACTTCAGCTGAGATAACTGGTATTGTTAATACTGTTATTAATAATGTTTAGCTCCTTAAGCCTATAATTCACATTTTCACTTAGCATCACACCTTTTATTTATTTAGCCTATCCATATTTCTATTACTACTAATCACACATGAAGTATATTACAAGAAGTTGAAGATGGTTACCAGTTTTGGTTCTGATTGCAGCACAACATTGTAGTATGGAAAGTAAAATGACGAGTACCTCATAAAGATAAGTTATAACGTGTTTTTCTTTGTTCTTTTTGCATGCTCTTAAATTTATAAAAGATTAACTAGATTTTCTGCTCATTTCAATCTCTACACAATTCATTTTTCAAACATTCTTTAGAAAAACATTTTCTAGAAAAATCCACTGAGAGATTAAGTTTTCGAAATCATATTTCCAACTTTTAAATACAATAACATTCTAGACGTTTACATAATGACAGCCATTCAATATAGTGCGTTATTAGAAATAAATATGGGTGCCTGCTAACCGTATAAAAGCTTTTGTTCCTGAGAAAACCCACTTTCACTGGTCAGGCGCCAAAAATCCTACCTGACCAGAGCCTGTGTGCTCTGTGATGGAGAGGAGTGCATGTTAGACATAAGTATATGGTTTTAATTACGGTGGCATGTAGATAGGATCAGTGTTCTTTGCTTAGAAATTTGGTTATGCAGGGATATATATCGTCGCCAGTTGACTGGCGTGATAGCTATGGTTGGAAATTCAGAAGTAGCGCGTTACAGTTGATTGTTTTGTTGTTGTTTGTTTGTTTTTAAAAGTGGCAGCTAAATTTTGCAAGCAATCTCTCACAATTTAGATCTTATTTATTGATTTCACATATTTATGTCGGGTGTTAATATTACCAATAATGATAGGGATTTTTTTTTTCGTGTATTTCATCCCCTCCTCTCAGTGTTGTAGCGATAAGTCTAAAGGCTGATAACGCTAAAAACCGAGTTTCGACATTCATGGTTGGCACAGCACAGACAGCCCATTGTGAGGGTTTGCGCTTAACAACAAACAGACATTTCATTGTTATAAAATATTTACGTAAACCATTGTTTTTTATTCATTTTTCTTAGTAATTAAAGAAAGTGTTCAAGTTCTATTAAAATACCCCATTCGCTGTAAACAGTTGTCTAAAGAAAAGTTCTTCTTTCTTGTTCTAAAGAACATTTCTGATTTGTATTTTTTAGAAACGTTTTAAACTCTTTTGTATTTCTCTTTCTTATAGTTTTATTACTAAATGATCTGCTTCATTATTCTATAACTGATTAATTGAAACCTCTGTGTCAATTTATTTTGAAATAATTGTTAGGGAAACATGCTCAAATCTTTGTAAAACATTTTCCCTGGAATCGGACTCCAGATTCTAGCCCTGTTAGCCTGTAAACTTACCGCTGTCCCACCGAGGGACTTCCCTATAATATAATAAAAAATATAATTTATCTTATATTTTTCGTCTGTCTCTTATATTATATTATTTATTTATACTAAATTGACCAATATATTTGATTTTAATTAAGAAATGAAGACAAAACATAGCTTTCTTTCACCCAAAAGCTTGATGGATTATAATGCTAAATGGCGGAATTCAGTCTCACTTATGGAACAGCACATTTGACACTGAATAGCTTTTAGCTTGAGATATACAAAATAACAAACGAAACATTGCTATACATTGTGTTCAGTCTTGGGCTGCTTACCTTAGGAAGGACATTGAATTGTTGGAAAGGGTTTAGAGACGGGCTAGAAGAATGATGCCTGGGATAGATGGGTTGTCATATGAGGAGAGGTTAAGATGTCTGAAATTGTTTTCTCTTGAGAAAAGAAGAGTTAGAGGGAACCTGATTGAGGTGTTTAAGATTTTCAAAGAGAATTCATAATGTTGATGCATCATTTTTTCATATTTAACAGCGAAAATAGTAGGACTAGGGAACACAACTATAAATTTTGGCAAGATAGGAGTCATCTTCGGCTAAGACAGTTATATTTTTCTAACAGGGTGGTTAGCCTCTGGAATGGGTGGCCTTCGGATGTTGTGGAGGCAGAAAATTTAAGTGCGTTTAAGAGAAAGCTTGATAACTATATGAATGATAAGGGCTGGCTTTAGTATTTTTTAAATTTATTTATTTAATAGTTTTAGTTTAGCTTAGAGGATGGGACAACCGAGATGGACCAATAGGTCCCTTGTTGTACCTAAACATTATGTTATGTTATGTTAACATATCTAAGATATTTTTTATGTAGAACTGATCAAAACGTTGGAGCTCATTAGTTAATAATCCCATATATATACTCTTTGACATAAGTTTTAATAATTTATAAATATGTGATTGCATTAAAAAACAAAACTTCAAAAATACTTTCAGTGTTATCATTTATGTTACTGCTACTAAAAGATTAAAATCTTTGCTAAATAAAATAAGAGGGAATCCTCAATATCTGCGGTACTTGAAATTATTTTGGGCAGGATTAGTGGTTCCAAATTATGGACACTTATACATGAACTCTAGCGATCTTTTGACCTGGCCGCTTAGCCCATGAGCACAAAAGTACCAATACCTAAATATGAATAAAACAAAGGGAATCCTCAATAGCCGCGGCACATGAAATTCTTTTAGGCAAAATTGGAGTAAATTAATCTATGAGACCTTTGTTTCCCTTTTCATTAGCTATATTTTTGTGCGCCAGCAATACAAAGCGTGGGTGCGTGTATACCCGATCAGATTATATTACTCATCAGAATCTTTTCTAGCCTACCCTCAAAATTGATATTATTTTAGGCAGGATTAGAGTAAATTAATCTAAGAGACCTCGAAAGGGTTTGACTTCCCGAGTACAAAACTGTAATTAGATCTCAAATCGGTCAAGAGATGAGGGAGCTGTGAAGTAAAAGTTTTTACTTGGGAAAAAAAACTCAGAACTGTTCTATGAGCCACGGCTAAAAAACCCATAAAAATCAGTATTTCCAAATAATTAGTTGTTGTTCACGGGAAGTTAATAGTTTTCTTTTATAAATAATCATACAAAGATGGCATTTATAAACATCGATTTTAACTTGAAGAAAAATATAACCAATTCATATTCTACGAGACATTTTGGAAAAGAAAATTTTGAATATCTGACCGATTTGATTCAGAAAACATTGAATGGAAATGAATTTCCCTTAAACAATTCTTATGAAATGTCATAGCGGCTCTCCCAAATAATATTCATATCTGATTATATAGGTTGTAAGTGGTCGTTTTGAGATGATGATTCATGAGCACCAAAAGAAAAGTTACAAGATATTGTATTTTATTGCTACACTTTCTTTCAATTTTAAACATATTTATAATATTTTTACCGAAACGTGAGAGTGCAATTTAGAAAAACCTCCAAGGTTACTTTGCACAGTCGCGGTTACTTAAAATATTAAGAACACCAAATATTTTCGGCCTAATATAAAGTTCTAAGTACAATAGATATACAATGCCATATTAAAGCGTGGCCTGTTGGTGCTGCAACACCAGCCCAATCGCAAAAAATATGCCTAACAAAATTCAAAGTACTGTTCTTTTTTAAACGTCTTCGCTTTGTAATTATTTTAATCATCGTTATATTCAAGAAAGAATAAAATTCAGTTTATTTAGTTACTGCACTCGGTGTATTAAAATGATTGTAAATGTTACAATTATTATAATTATATTATTCGTTATAATTCTCAGTAAAAGATACATCATTGGATTTAATAAAATGTTTTTAATAAAAGTTTTGTTGGAAATTCATTTTATGTTGATGAAATGGCTTATGAATTATTTTTAGTTGCCTATTTCTTTACGTGTGAGTAGTAATAAAAACTGTACCAATGACAAATCTGTCAATCAGCTTTATAGGCTGCCTGGAAATTACATCACAGCCGTTTTTTGGCAGTAAATAGAGGTTCTTACTGAGAATCAGTTTAGAAGCTTATCTGCTACAACATGTGTGTGATGCTACCATGGTCAAGGGTTGCGAGTTAACTCCAAGGAAAAAATAAAACGTCATTGTTTCTTTGAGAAAAGAGGGAAGTTCGACAATTCAGATTGCTAAAAAGTTTAAATTTAACCAATCTACTGTTAGCCTCTGGGTGCAGAGATATGGAGAAACTGGCTGAGTGGATAGTCAAAAGGGAAGGGGTAAGAAAAAAGCTTCCACAGCAGCTGACGATTGTGTTCTGAAGCAGATGAGCCCGCATAATCATTGACTAGGAGGAAGGCAGCTAGTCATCACCACCCACCGCCAACTCTTGGGCTACTCTTTTACCAACAAATAGTGGGAT